TCCTCCTCTTCCTTCCTTCCTTCCTTCCTTCCTTCCTTCCTTCTTTCCTCCTCCTCCTTTCTTCCTCCGTCCCTTTTTTTCTTCTTCCCCTTCCTCCTTCCTCTCTTAGTTCTTCCACTTTCTCTCCTTTTACTTAACACAGTTCAAAATACAGTATGTGTGTTTTTGTATCTTTTACCAGTATTATTTTTACACGTGTGTGTGTGTGTGTGTGTGTGTGTGTGTTTGTTTTAACAGCGGTAAGAGGATTAAGCTCACGGTTGGTGGTGGTGCGGCGAGCGTTAAGTGAGGGCGACATACATACATACATACACACATACATACATACATACATACATACATACATACATACATACAGGGCGGCGTCAACTCCTGTGTGTGTGTGTGTGTGTGTACAGGTATATATGGCCTCTACCTGCCTACTAATGAACTAATTATACACCTTAATGATGTTTTTATTTACCTTGACACGAACAATCAGGAGCGCCATTTAAGTTGACTGCCTCACTATATACAGTAATTACCTTCAAATAAAACATTAATTCGTTACTATAATGTTAAATGTTTTTTGTGTTTATTGTAAACGTTTTTTGGGGATGATTTTTAATGGTTGTTGTTGATCACTTTGTTTATTGTAGTAATTGGTGAATGTTTTTGGCTGTCCGGTGTGAGTAAGGGTGATAGTGAGGGTGATGGTGTGAGTAAGGGTGATAGTGAGGGTGATGGTGTGAGTAAGGGTGATAGTGAGGGTGATAGTGGAGGGTGAGGGTGTGAGTAAGGGTGATGGTGTGAGTAAGGGTGATAGTGAGGGTGATGGTGTGAGTAAGGGTGATAGTGAGGGTGATGGTGAGTAAGGGATAGTGAGGGTGATGGTGTGAGTAAGGGTGATAGTGAGGGTGATGGTGTGAGTAAGGGTGATAGTGAGGGTGATGGTGTGAGTAAGGGTGATAGTGAGGGTGATGGTGTAAGGGTGATAGTGAGGGTGATGGTGTGAGTAAGGGTGATAGTGAGGGTGATAGTGTTATGAGGGTGATGACAAAAACTTCATTATATCGTCAAAAATCTTCCCTGGCTAAAACCCTCCTGCTGTAGTAAGACGCCCCTTGGTTATATCTCCCAGGGGCGTGTATTACTCACCTGCGTCACCCAAGACCAGACCCTCTACCTCCTCCTCCTCCTCACTCCTGCCGCAGCGCCCTCCTTAAATTCTCCCAGAGCCAGAGACTGTCACCAATAAATTCTTAAAAACTTGAACCTCGAGAGAAAATGTAAAAATTCTGACCTGACTTGATTTTTACTGGGGATTATCTGATAGTTTATTAGAGGTTGAGAGTTTTCCTTTATCTCCTGCTCGGACCCCTTCACCCAAGGCTATGTGCTCGGACCCCTTAGAGCCGGTACAAAGGTTAAGGGTCACCAGGAGGCCAAAGTGTCAAGGAGTGGCACTAAGGGTGTATTTACTGTATCGTGTTTACCAGCCGTTATCCAAGGGGGGGGCCTGGCACCCGACCTGTTAAACCTATTAAAAACACGAGATGGTTACTTCCTCTTCCGGTTTCTGAGAGTGACCGCCAGTTAAGTCATCCAGCCCAGTGTTAAAAGGCTTTGTTTTTTACCCCCCCAGTGTGAAGAGAGAGAGAGAGAGAGAGAGGAGAGAGAGAGAGAGAGAGAGATCACTGAAAGTTCTTAAAACTATGTCACTGGGGAAAGGAATGAAGCCCCCACGAGCCAGCAGCAGCGGCAGGCATCCCCTCCCTCTGCTCGCTCCATTAGGGGGAAAAATATTCAAGACAGCATTAGCGATTATTGATTTCACGGAGACGTGCCTTGCTGGGGGCCGCGAGCACCCCAGGAGAGGTGTTGGGCGTCACTTTGCCTCTGTAACTCTGGAGACACTGACCTGATGCTCAACTGTCTGCTGCAGCAACTGAAAGAGGAGGAGACGGTAGACAGTGAAAGATTCCCAACACAAATGACAGAGAGAGAGAGAGAGAGAGAGAGAGAGAGAGGTTAAAACATCATAAAGTAGGAGTGAGGGGAAACAACAGGGGGATTATACTTCACGTGTAGATTCCATAACACATATATAGGGGCGGGGAAATAGTTGAACAAAGAACCATAGAACATAAGAGTTGGATGAAAGGCGGGAAGGGTGAAGTAGGTCAACATCCAGTGGGCGGCTTGGATGAGTAAGGTGGGTGTACGGGTAGGTAGGTGGGTGGGTGGTCGGGCGGATAGGTTAGTAGGGAAGGGAATGGATGGACGGGGAGGTGGGTGGACGGGGAGGTGGGTGGACGGGTAGGGTGGGTGGACGGAGGTGGGGTGGACGGGAGGGTGGGAGGGGGAGGTGGGTGGGCGGGTAGGTGGGTGGACGGGTAGGTGGGTCTTCATCCTCCTCCTCCCGGCGTGTGTGTTTACCCAGAGCTCACCCTGACGCTGTGGCCCACACTCCCCGCCCTGGCCCACACTCCCCGCCCTGGCCCACACTCCCCGCCTACTGGACACAAATTAGCGCCCCACATAGCTTTCTTCTCCCTCTTCCTTCTCCTCCCATTCGTTGTTGCATGAACGGGTGTGGAAAGGATTGAGGATGGAAGGAACAACTTGAGCAACGGCGTCTCCTCCAGGACCTACTAACCACACGTTACTGCTCTCTCTCTCTCTCTCTCTCTCTCTCTCTCTCTGTGTGTGTGTGTGTGTGTGTGACGGAGCTTCAGAAATAATGTTGGTGCTATCGGGAGGTGGGGGGAGGGATGATGGCGGGTGGTGTGATGGTGCTAGTGGGCGAGGTGGTGCTAGTGGGCGAGGTGGTGCTAGTGGGCGAGGTGGTGCTAGGGAATAGTGATGGTATTGCTAGAGGAGTAATGGTAAGGCTTATTGTGCTAATGGTTCATCATACCAAAATCCAGCTCTTTTTTGTGTGTGTGTGTGTGTGTGTGTGTGTGTGTGTGTGTGTGTGTGTGTGTTCTTTCAGCAATGACACTTAGGTTTATATGATACGTGGAGAAGATCTAGATTATTATTAATAGGTTAGGTTAGGTTACCAAGGCTGATAGCACCTGTCAAGACGTCAGGTATGGGCGGAGGAGCTGGGGTCAGGGACGGGGTGGTGTTAGGACCCTGTTGGTGGAGTGCTGATCAATTCGTAACACTCAACGGGTCGGTAACTCCTGTGATGTAACGTAGAGACGCACAGCTGTTACGGTGAATGTGACGTGACAACCTAGTGCTTGTATCGCGTTGTTACACACACTCAAACACTCAAGTCTTATTATTTATTTTTTTTGTAACATACTTTCCCCGCACTAACGCAGCTTGGGTATATTCTTGGTGTACTCACTGTTCCCGCCTTCGTTTCCGGGGTGATATGTCGAGTGTGTGTCTCCCGTAATGGTTTGGGGAATCAGAAACACACATGGCCTGACAGGTGGCATTGTGGCCCGCTGTTGTGAGGCGGTGCTGTTTCTGGTGGCCCTGCTGGCGTCTTTGTTTCACGGGAGTCTTCGTCAGGCGACATCTTGACAACATTGCTACTGATGTACTTCAGATATGGACACACACACACACACACACACACACACACACACACACACACACACACACACACACACACACACACACACACACACACACACACACGAACCACTAGCGCCACTGTACACTTGAGTCACCACTACCACTGTGCACCGCCATCTGGAGTCGTTCCTCAGAGGTAATGGCTCAGGTGGCGCCGAGAGAACGCCAATGAATACATTAGGGCGTCTCAGCTGCTGCTGCCCCATCACCCCCGCCATCACCCCTACCATTCTCACCACCATTACCACCATCATCACCCCACCACCACCAGGTCTAGGTTAGGTTGGATTAATAATATTATTTTTATAAGAGCACCCGGGCACAGGTCACTGACCCACATTGGGGCCTGTGGGGAAGTAATAATAATAATTCATAGTAAATACAATAATAATGCTAATAATAATAAAACTGTAATAATTATAATTATAATAATAATAATAATAATAATAATAATAATAAAGAAATAAAAAAAAAAAAAGATCACAAGTGAGAAACAATATATGTATGTTGTGTTGTCATTAGTGAGAGAAACAATTGAGTCCCTGCAATTGTGTGTAAATGAGGCAGAAAGTCAGATCAGCAACCTGGGACTTGCCAGGTCAGGTCAGGTGAGTTCAGGTCAGGTTAAAAGTTAACCTGTAAAAATGTAAAAAACTCATAACCAGGATAACTTTTTCCCTCATACGTGAACATAAAGCGATATAAAGGGTTGAGTGCAGAAGATGATGACAAGAAGAGGTCATGAGGGCGAGGCCACAGTTACTGAAGGTGAATTACACCAGAGAGGAGTTGTAAACACGAGGGGGGCAGCTGGGGGGAGGGTTGTGAGGCAGCTGGGTGTTGTGAGGCAGCTGGGTGGTGTTGTGAGTGGGTGTTGTGAGGCAGCTGGGTGTTGTGAGGTGGCTGGGTGTTGTGAGGTAGCTGGGTGTGAGGTAGCTGGGTGTTGTGGGGGCAGCTGGGTGTTGTGGGAGTGGAGTGTGTGAGGCAGCTGGGTGTTGTGTGGGGTCAGCTGGGTGTTGTGAGGCAGCTGGGTGTTGTGGACAGCTGGGTGTTGTGAGAATGGTGTTGTGAGGCAGCTGGGTGTTGTGAGGCGCTGGCTAGGGGTTGTTATTCCTGGTTTAAGTTAAATTATTAAAATTCCTTGTCCCAGAGGAAGTGACACAGGCGTAACATTGTAGGAGGGAAGGAACGATGGAGGAAGGAACGGGGATGGTTGGTAGGAGGAAGGGGACGTAGAAAGGAAAAAAAGGAGGGAAGGCAGGAGGAAAATAAGGTGGGAGGGGAAGGAGGAGGGAAAGGGAAGGGATGTAGGGAAGAAAGGAAGAGGGAAGAAGGAAAGGAAGAGAAGGAAAGAAGTAGGTAGAGAGGAGTGTATTCGTCTCACCTTCACCTTTAATTAATCACTGTGTTTTGTCCTTCCACAGGCTACCTCCTTTACAAAGACTTTAGTGAGAACGTGTGTGAAGATCCTGTACATCAGCTCAAGTTTTACGAGGAGGTGAGTACCCTAGTGTGTATGTGGGGGGAGGGGTTAAATCATCGTCATCAAAGGGGTTAAATCATCGTCATCAAAGGGTTCGTCATTATCAGTCATCAAAGGGGTTAAATCATCAGTCATCAAAGGGGTTAAATCATTATCAGTCATCAAAGGGGTTAAATCATTATCAGTCATCAAAGGGGTTAAATCATTATCAGTCATCAAAGGGGTTAAATCATTATCAGTCATCAAAGGGGTTAAATCATTGTCGGTCATCAAAGGGGTTAAATCATTATCACTCATCAAAGGGGTTAAATCATCGTCATCAAACCTCCTCCATCAGGTAGAAGAAGCTCCTGTAGATTCCAATAACTTTTCCTCCGCCTCCTTCTGCCCCTTCTTCTGTGACCCCTCGTTGTGTACTCTCCCTAGGGCAGAATGGTCGTGACCTAAGATTGTGTTGCCCTGAGTTACCTCGTTAATATTATGTAATGTGTGGAGTAGATTGCCTCCTCTCACCTCCCGCTACTGAGTGAGGTCTGAGGCGGTGAGGGGAAGGAAGGTGAGGTGTGAGGGGTGAGGAAGGAAGGTGAGGTGTGAGGGGGTGGCGGCTATCAGGTTGCCGTCTTGTTTACGTTAGTGACGTAACTGTGACGTCACACAGAGCCAGTGGTGGTGGTGGTGGTGGTGGTGGTGGTGGTGAGTGGTGGTGGTGGTAGGTGGTGGTGGTGGTGGTGGTGGTGTGTGTGTGGTGGTGGTGGGAGTGGTGTGTGTGTGGTGGTGGGTAGTGTGTGGTGAGTGGTGTGGGTAGTGGTGGTGGTGGGTGGTGAGTAGTGTGGGTGGTGGTGGTGGTGGGTGGTGTAGTGGTGGTGGGTGAGGTGGTGGTGGTGGTTGTGTGGTGGTGAGTAGTGGTGTGTGTTAGGTGGTGGTGGTTGTGGTGGTGGTGGTGTGTGGTGGTGGTGATGGTGATGGTGGTGGTGGTGGTGGTGGTGGTGGTGGTGGTGGTGGAGTGGTGGTGGTGGTGGTGGTGGTGGACCGCATGACCCGTACACTGATGACCTCAGGTTAAATAAGTAGGGTGTGTGTGGGCGGGGCCACAGCGCCTCACAAGTTACCGTCTAGATATTTACCTCAAAATATTCGCTTGTCCGCCTGGCAAGTGCTGGACACATGGGCATGAAAAAATCACTTGACTGGGCATCCTGGGCACTGCTAATCTGCCCAGCCAGGTACACACACAGGTAGAGCCCTGACCGTGTTACAGAGTGATTTAGTGAAGTGTGAGAGACCATGACTCTCCATCTGCCATAGCACCTCAGTCTCACCTCTCTCACTCACCTCACACACTGCCTCACACTCACTAATCCCCTCATTAGGGTGGGAATAAATAGTCGTGGTCTATGGTCCTGAACCAACCCTGGTACTCTCATGGTGGTGGTGGGAGAGGGAAGGAGGAGGAGGTGATGGTGGGGGAAGGGAAGGAGAGGGGTGATGCTGGGTTAGGGGTAGGGGTCCGGGACGAGTGTTAACTACAGTGGCCCTGAAAGTTAACCGGGAAATCCCAGGACGTCAGAGTGGACCTTGAGTCTATCCTGCCCTCCCCGCCCTGTCCTCTCGCCCTTCCGCCCACCTCCCGTCCTGTCCTGTCCCGTCCTGTCCCGTCCCGTCCCTGCCCTGCCCCACCTCCCCTGTCCTTGACCCGTTACCTTCTTCGTTTCATTCCTGACTGTCCCATTGACCCACCACCTGGCCCACTGACCCACTGTTCCACCACCTGTCCCAACCTTCCTGTTACCTGTATAATCTAATTAAGTTAAGCACACAAGAGTTCACCTTTTCACGGTTGGGGCTTTGATGTTCCTCCACTCTTACAGGTAAACTCCCCATCATGGACGCTACCTGGAAACTCGGAAAACAGTTTACCGTAATTGCATTTAGATGTCCTAAAATGTCCTCGGCAGCTTTGAACAAGTAACTAGATCGGGACATTTTTAAAGAGACTGATAATAACCTATTAGCTGATACCTCCAGTATTGTACACGTTGGCTGTATCGTCCGGTCGTTAGGTGTGTTAGTGGCGAAAATTTCTTAATTAACCTGCATTTAGATCACTCACCTGTTGTATACACCTGACTCGTCAACCGTTCACGTAAACATTTAGTCACTGAGTTCACCGTTTAAGAGTGTGAGGAGGACTCGGTAGGTAAGGTGGGTTAGGTTAGGTTATGGTGAGGTACCCGTCTTCACCACCTCAGCTCGGGTTTCTCCCCAACATGTGAGTGGTCAGGTTGATTCATTCCCACAGGCTTTAAGTGTTGACATAAGCGTGAAGAACCACCACCCACTTCACCTTAATGGGAGAGGGAGGGGGCGAGGAGGGGGAGAGGAGGAAAACCCACTAAAATACCCTCAACAATCCATGTGAGGGGAGAATTGGAGTGGGTGTATGGATGGACCGTTCCTGACACAGGTTCTCTCTGTGTGTGTTTACCGTGTGACTCAGCTACCTGCCACGCTTACTGCACATGGTGATCAGTGTAGTGTAGTATGGTGTGGTGTAGGTGTGTGTAGTGTAGTGTAGTGTGGTGTAGTGTGGTGTGGTGTAGTGTAGTGTGGTGTGGTGTGGTGTGGTGTGTGTGGTATAGTGTAGTGTGGTATATAAGAAAGGTATTGTAGTGATGGTCGTGGTGTTGAGTGGTGATGGTGCCTGTACCCCAGGCACTGTACCTCACAACAATATTATTATACCAATAGTCACTGAATAATTGATCCTTCTAGGGTACATGAGTCATAAAGTTACTGTCCTGTCTCTATGTATGTGTGTGTATGTATGTGTGTGTGTGTGTGTGTGTGTGTGTGTGTGTGTGTGTCTATGTGTGTGTAACTACGCACACAAGTATGGTTAGACAATAGTGGAAGTGTGAGGGAGGGAACACAGGGGGGGCTGTGGGATGGTGGAAGGGGAGGTGAGGGAAGGGCGCCAGGAAGGAAGGAATGAGGTAGGAATGAGACCAGAATATGGAACACTGGAACGAAGCCAATGGAGAGAGAGAGAGAGAGAGAGAGAGAGCCATGATGTGAATTGAAATGTGAGTTCGTGAGAAGCAGCTAGGAAGGAAGGAAGAGGAAATGATGGAAGAGTGAGTAAGGTGTGTGTGTGTGTGTAGGGGGGATCAGGGAGATGATCAGCTGACTCGGTAAACACAAAGCAACAGGTGGGTGAGGAGGGAGGGAGGAGGAGGTTGCCAGCCATACCGAATGATAAATTTTTCACGTTACTGGGAAGGTGTTGGCAGCCAAGACGTCGACCCACTGCCTCACCACCCCTCACCCTCCACCACCCCCAACCCCCCAACCACGGCGAGGAACCTACTGTACCACGACACACGGAAGACGTTGATTAACCAGAGCGAGACGGTGGGGGAGGGGCCAGTATTACCTCTGTGTTATAAGTGAGTATTACGCGTGAAGATGAAGCAGTGTTAGGTGAGGGAGAGCTGGTAGGGAGGAAGGGAGGTAGGAGGGAGGAGTAGAGGTTGGTAGGGGGGAGGTAGATAAGACAGCCTCAGTTTCCTCACTTACTTACCCAACGCTAACTAACCTAACCCAACGCCCTAACCCAACCCAACGCTAACTTCCTGACCCAACGCTAACCTAACCCCTGCAACGCTAACCTAATGACAACGCTAACCTAACCTGACCCAGCACTAGCTAACCTAACGCTAACCTAACCTGGCAACAACCTAACCCTGACAACGCTAACCTAACCTAACCCAACGCTTCAACCTAACCCAACGCTAACCCTATTGGAACCCAGCTAACTTAACTGGCAACGCTAACAAGCCCAGCCAACTGTGCTTCTTGGACCCAACGCTAACCTAACCTGATCCAACTAACCTACCGACCAACGCTAACTTCTTGCAACCCAACGCTAACCCTATAACCCAGCCTTAACCTGCTTGACCCAACGCTACCTAGCCCAACCCAGCGCTAACCTACTTACGACCCAACGCTAACCCTAGCCGACCTAACCTCAACTTCACCTAACCTAACACAAGGAAGGGTGAGTGCCTTGACTATGTTGTTTTCATAAGAGTTTGGTGAGTTAGTGAGGAGATCCCCTTCCTTCCCCCCTCCCTTCCCCCTCTTCCCCCTTTCCCCCTCCTCCCCTTCCTTATTGTTTCCTCCTGTGATCTTTAGTATAATAAATGAAAAAAAATATATATGCAGCGGCTAAGAGCAACAAGTGGGCGGCGTTATTGAATAGCCGTCATTATCCACTTGAGTGTAAGAGGCAGCCCGAGTGTATCATCACGCCTCATATAACAACACTCCCTTACATTCCTCCCTCTCTCCCTTACATCTCCTCCCCTTACATTCCCTCACTCCCTTACATTCCTCACTCTCCTTACGCCCCCCTCCCCTTACACTCCCTCACTCCCTACCTCCTCACCTCCCTTGTTCCCTCACACTCCTTACACTCCCTCCTCCTCCCTACCTCCCTCATCTCCCCTTACCTCCCTCATCACTCTTACTCCCTCACTCCCTTACACCCCCTCCTCCTCCCTTACCCTCTCTCCTTACCTCCCTCACTCTCCTTACACTCCCTCATTCTCCCTTACCTCCATCACTCTCCCTTACACTCTCATCCTCTCCCTTACACCCCTCACTCTCCCTTACACCCCTCACCCCCCTTACCTCCCTCACTCCCTTACCTCTCACTCTCCCCACCCCTCCCTCTCCACCCCCCCTCCTCTCCTACCCCCTCACTCCCCTCACCCACCCCTCACTCTCCCTTACACCCCCTCTCCCCTTACACTCCCTCACCCCCCCCTTACACTCCATCACTCTCCCTTACACCCCTCCCCCCCCTCACTCTTCCTTACACCCCTCACTCTCCCTTACACCCCCTCCTCCTCCCCCCCACCCCCTCCTCCTCCACCCCTCACTCTCCCTTACACCCCTCACTCTCCCTTACACCCCCTCACTCTCCCCACACCCCTTCCTCTCCCTTACCCCCT